TGAACGCCATGGAAAAGGACGCCTGGAGTCAAGTGAAAGACGAAAAGATTGATACTCTGATGCTTAAAGATTTGCTAAACAATATACGTCTTGAAATCGGTGACACCGGCCTTACATCCCGTTCCCAAGCGTTCATCGGCTTAGAAAATGCGGTAGAAATGGATAATTTTGTTGAGGTTTATAAGGATCAGCCGCTGAAAAGGGTAACAGTTGTCACGTGTTTGACAACCATAAAGAAGACGGTGTCGGACGAGAATGCGGTCAGTTGTCTAGTGATGGGCACTGAGAATCGGGACGTGTATATACTAGAACCCGACGCCTTTACTATATTAGTGACCGTAAGTTTTGCCAACTGTTTGAACGATTTAAACTATATCTGGTTTATAGGCAACGGTTCCGAGTGTTCCCGTGTTTATTGAGGCAAACGGTTTGTTTGACGTCGAGTATCGGTTAATGGTTTCGTGTCGAGACGCCCACATCTATACCATCAAACGAGGCTATAAAACGGGACGACTCTGTCTGCAACTTAATTCACAACCGGTAGGCATTTTAAGGGTCAATAATAATATTGTGATCGCAACCATGAACCAAATGCTCAGCACATTCACCACTAAAGGTATTTTACTATTGATTTATTGTGAAATATGATTAAGGTAAATAACATTACTTAATAGGGAATTGTATGTGGAGTGTCGAACAGCCGGCAATTATAACAGCCATTGAAGCTATAGATGTTGAGCGTCAGAGCCTGAAGCTGATCGCTGTGGCACTCGATTGCAAACAAATACATTTATATCAAGACAGACATAAAGTGGATATTTTAGACACGGATGACATTGTGGTGGCCATGAAATACGGCCGCTTTGGCCGTGAAGACAGTACATTAGTGATGGTTTCGCGTAACGGAGCCCTCACTATCAAAATATTGAAAAGGACCGCAAAGTTTGCGATCCGGGAGTTTGTGGAGGCGCCCCAACACACACTCACTTCTAAACTCAATATTCCCAAAAAGACTAAATTGTTTGTCGACCAGACTATGAGAGAAAGGGAACAGTCTATCAGTGAGTTATTGTTTTGTTTGCAACGCTAGAAGTAGTTTATTATAAATTATGTTTATATTGTCTACAAATATTGTATTCATTTGTTAAACTAATAATAAGGTATTCACCGAACATTTCAACACGATTTATATCGTCTCAAATTAATCGCCGCCCGATCTTATGTGAAAGCAATCGCATCGAGTCTTAATCCTTTATCTTCTACTGCTATCGATCCTTTGAAACTATCGGCACAGGTATTGTATAATTAGTATTTTGTTTCTAATAGTAATTAGAGAATACTTTATATTAAATTTATTAACAATTATTTGAAATTTAATTTAAATTATTATTTTGTGTTAATGAAATTTATTGCAAGTGCAATGTATAAAAGTGAATTTTTTGACATTAGAGTTTAGCATTCAATCAAAAGCTTTCAAATATTTTCAAAAATAATGCTATAATTTAAAAATATTGTATGATATATAATTATTAATACTGTACTTTATATCATATACAGACTGTATAATACAGTAGAGTATATGCTAGGGTCTATGATTAAATCTAAATATTTGTTATAGAAAATGTTTAAATATGATGAGTGAAGTGAATAACTGCTGATATGTATAAATTATATAAACGATTGAACAGGTGCATGGATTGGGCCCTATATTCAGACTAGTGTTGGAATTGCAAAATACATCGCCGGACACGCCATCAATGGATCTATTGATGACATTTCAATGCGATGTTCGCATCTATACTATCGACCGATCGGCGATTCGCGTGCCATTCCTCGCGCCCGGATTTATCTACTCTTTCGCCACACGTGTTGTTTGCGTCAGTAAACTAAACATCTCTGATATTATCAAAGTATAGATCTATTTGTTGTTTGTGTTGACTCAAAATATTAAAATTGTATATTTTCTAACATTAGGTACTTGTGGTGAAAGAGGATGGGATAATACCTGTAATTACTGCTGTGATCAATATGCCGGCCAGTGAGGCACCTATTGATGGATAGGCGTCTTCTCGCACTTATCTTATCAAATATGATTCACTAACAGATTTAGCATAACTAGTTTTTACTAATTTAAAATTACTTTTTTAACAAATATATTTACTTGTGATATGCAATGAAACTGAATTAATTAATTTACAAAAGGATGCAAACCATTTGTCCCGCCTATGAATCCAGAGATAATCTCATGTGAAGATGTCATTCTCTAAACTATGTTTGTGTCATGTTATTCAATGGGTTTTATAATACCAAAACAATTAATTTGTTTAAAAATTTAAAATATTAAGTGAGAGTTAATTATTTGAATGGGGTATCATTAGAGTCTCTATTTTTCGGGAGTAAAAACACCCAAATTCGGGCGGGATTCGGGAACATAAAACAGTCAAATTCGGGAAAAAATCGGGAGTTAAAATTTACTTTATTTTGACATATTCACTTATCCGCAAAGACTCGCATTAATGTTATAATAATTTTGTTCAAAATGTTATGAGCAAAGGATTTAAAGGGTTGCTGTGCTCTTGCCTTTCAATACAACAACAATACACAACTTCTTTCATAGAAATATTAGACAAACATATAATAAGTAGAGTCTCTATTTTTCGGGAGTAAAAACACCCAAATTCGGGCGGGATTCGGGAACATAAAACAGTCAAATTCGGGAAAAAATCGGGAGTTAAAATTTACTTTATTTTGACATTAAAACAATAATTATGCATTTAAAAATGAATTATATTTGATAATAACATGAAATTTGAGATTCTCTTCTGTAAATTTATGCCTTCTATCTGTAATAATATTCTTAAATTGAGAAAAAGAATGCGCGCCTTTGACGGATATAAATATAATTTTAAAATAGCATGAAATGAATTGTCACATATTTTGAGTTTAACTTTCATATACTCCCTCTATCACACATTATTTGAACTTTATAACAGTTTTTGGTATTTACTTAACATTTCATTAAAATATTTGAAGAAAAAACGATGATTATAGGGGTTTTTCGTGGCAAAAGTGCGTTTTCGGGACTATTTTTTCATAATCGGGAGCATTCGGGATATTTCGGGAGTTTTCGGGACTTTTCGGGATTTTTTCAAAATATGCGAAAATCGGGAAAAATCGGGAATATAAAAACTATATATATTGGTCCTATTTTAGCCCATATGCCTAACGGTATGTAATTCCCGATGTTTTTATACACTAAATTTATTCGGGAGTTCCCGAAAAATAGAGACTCTAGGTATCATATTCATTTTCAATCATTGAATATAAAATAGATAATTTGAATATATTTTTATTTATTACATTTATTTTTTAATTTTATAAAACCATTTTATAGTATTGCCCGAACAGTGTTTGGAGAATGACCTCTTTAGATAAGATTAATTTTTGGATCTAGAAGANAATATAAAATAGATAATTTGAATATATTTTTATTTATTACATTTATTTTTTAATTTTATAAAACCATTTTATAGTATTGCCCGAACAGTGTTTGGAGAATGACCTCTTTAGATAAGATTAATTTTTGGATCTAGAAGAGGTGGAGACAAATGGTTTGCATCATTAATGAATATACTGTAGTTTCATTTCCATATCATAAGAAAATATATTTGTTAGACAACTAGTCGTACGGATTCTATTTGATGCAGTTATACTCTATTATATTCTTCAAAACATATTTACCGGTACATCAGTTTATAAAATTTTATATAAAATGTAAAATATAAGATATCATTGAAATAAAACATGAAATTTAATAACCTATTCCTATATTTACATCTATTCTTATATAAATCTCCAATTAAATAGTTTTATTTTATATTATTATCATTTTATTTTTAGAATTTTAATTGATAGATAATTTATACATTGTAAGTTTTAATTATGATAACTTAATTATTTATTAAATAAATACGGAGATACAGTGCTCATGTATAATTGTCTTATTGAATAATTAAGAAATACTAATAACAGGAGTATATTTAACTTTTATGTGCATAAATACGCATAATTTCATCTACAATATAATATAATATTTACAGATTGTATTTATAAAGATAGATGAATACTAAATTTTAAGTTATATATTGAAATTATGTTAATAAATATAATTATGAAACATTGTTGCTATTGTAGCTAATTTAGAAAGACTACGTATAATTATCTAAATACTCTATTAATAACTAAAACTTAATCAATAAACCATTAAAATATAGACGATTTAATATTTTATTAGACAATTTATAAATTTATATTCTGTATATACAGTACATATAAAGTTCAGTATTTTAACGCAACCAAACTTAAAACATAAACTATTGATGTTAGTTACAAACAATTTATTATCTAAATTGTGATAAAACCTAAAGTTATATAATATAACTTATATTAATGTTTTGTTAGTAATTTAATAGAAATTGTTATTTTAAAACTTATAATTTTATTTAAATGTTAATAATGTAAAAACATTGATAATAGCTTATGAAAACGCATTTACTTTCATATAAAACTATAATTTAAATGTAAATGAGCACGCACATTTATAGTTGTGTAAAGTATAGTATAGAATCTATACTATAGAATCTATAGTATAGATCAATTATTTATATTGTATAACAAAATACAAATACTGTAGAATATTAATATTTAAAACTACATAATAGGATGCAAATACAAAAATAGTATTAATTCAAACAGAACTTTCATATTGTAAACTACTTCTTTGAATTGGAAAGTATTTATATAAAACTTTCTAAACCAATGGATTACATATCAGACGTAAGATTAATATTATATTTAAATAATATATAACTTATAATTAGTGTTTAAATATATACAATATTAATTATTTATTTATATATCTTGCAATCAAAAGGCAATCAAGAGGTCTCGTTTGGCTTTCGACAGGAATACGACCAGAAATGTTGAGTTTCGTAAACAACAGCTCAAAGCAATCCATAGTTTGTTGAGTGAAAATGAAGAAATGTTTGTGGATGCGCTAGAATTGGATTTTAAAAAGGTTTATAACTTAACGTTTAACCGTTTGTCCCATAATTTCTAATGAAAGTACTTATTATACAAATTAAATGTTAGCCAAAAAATGAAGTAATAATGAATGAGTTAGAAGTAACCAAAAATGATTTGGTCTATCAATTGGATAATATCGATGATTACGTCAAACGACATGCCGTGGAAAAGGAGGGCTTTTCTGTTGCGGACGAACCGTTCCTACAATATGAGCCGTACGGTGTGGTACTAGTGATCGGGGCGTGGAATTACCCAGTTCAATTGCTCTTTGCCCCTCTCGTAGCCGCCATAACTGCGGGCAATTGTGCTCTCATTAAACCGTCAGAAATGCCTCGAAATACTGAACATCTAATACGAGAACTCATTCCTCAATATTTGGATAACGTATTGTTTTTTAAACAAATTTTTAAACAAGTTTAACAAATTATTTCTATTAATATGATTGCAGGATTGTTATCATGTAATAACTGGCGGACCAGACGTGACCACAGAATTGTTGAAACACAAGTTTGATTATATATTTTTCACGGGTTCTACAACTGTGGGTCGTATAGTATACGAGAGTGCGGCCAAATACTTAACACCCGTTACGTTGGAGTTGGGGGGCAAGAGGTGAGACTATACTGTATTTAAATTAACGACTGTCTTTTAATAATAATTAAATAGTAAAAAATTAATACTAAATGTCTTAAAACTAAATAAATGTTGTTTTTGTAGTCCTGTTTGGATGGACGAGACAGTAGAGAATTTGGATGTTGCGGTCAGACGTTTATTGTGGGCAAAAATGATTAATTTGGGGCAAACATGTATTGCACCCGATTATGTGATCACAACATCTAAATTTCAAACTATTTTCATCGGAACAGCGATTAAAATATTGAATGAATTCTTTGGCGAACGACCGCAAGAGTCCATGAGTTTGGCTCGTATTATAAATGATAGAAATTTTAACAGAATTCAATCGCTTTTGAGTTCTACTAAAGGTATGATTTAAATGATGTTTATTTAAAGCTATCATACAAATACATTTATATATTAGTACGAGTTGTAAATGAACTAATGTACTATTAAATCAGGAAAAATAGTTTTTGGTGGAAATACAGATTTAGAGGACAAATTCATTGAGCCGACAATAGTAGCGGACGTTCCGTTCGACGATTCACTTATGTCTGAAGAGATATTCGGTCCCATTTTGCCCGTTCTTATTGTCAGAGATGCCAACGAAGCCATCAGTTTTATCAGGAGTAGAGATAAACCGTTGGCTCTCTATGTGTTCAGTAGTGATAAGATTACAATTGATAAGTTTGTTGATCGCACCTCAAGCGGAGTGTTTTGCGCCAACGATGCCATCGTTAATCTGTTGCGTAAGTATTGCTGTTATTTGTTGTCAATAATTATTAATAGCTGTAATATTGTATAATACGATGGATTTATATTTATGTTTTATTTAAGTGGATGGCTTACCATTTGGAGGAGTGGGTCCTTCAGGCACCGGCAGATATCACGGCAAATGGTCTTTTGAGACATTCTCTCACCTCAAAGGGTCACTCATTCGCAGTTATAATCCAGAGATGGAAGAAATAACTAAGTAATACATTCTTATTATATAGCAAAATGTCATCTCATGACAAATAATTGTTAATTGTTTTTAAAAAATGACATTTAAAATGATTGTATGTTTGTATGCATTACAGGAACCGTTACCCGCCTTTCAGTGAAGAGAAGACAGAAATCATGAAGATGTCAATGAAGAAAGAACTCATGAATTAAAGGCATTCTATAAACACTTATTTCTATTCCAATACATTAGAATTAGAACTCCTTTTGAGTATATATTTATTGATTTTACAATTTTATTATTGTATTTACATTTAGTAAATGTGTGCATATTTACAGTATAGACAATTCAATGCCTTCGTAATAGGTATAGTGATAGAAAAAATTATAATTTTGAGTTTTAGTTTTGTTTTGGCTTTGTAATTAACATTAATTTGCTAACTTTGATATTATCCAAAAATAATAAATATTATTTGGAAATTTTCAAATGTTATTAATATTTATTTAATTATCATTTTTAGTTTTAAACATTTTTTTAGAAAAAACATTAAATCTTAAATATTAATTTTAAAAATGTATTTTACAATTAAAATACAAGTGAATTCTTGTCAATTTATGCTATATTTCCCATAAATATTTGTTTGTTAAATATTACTATTTAAATAAAATTTAAAATGATAAATTATAACGTTTTATTTTAATTTATTTCTACTTTTTACAGTTAATAAATAAGAATAGATAAATGGATTTTAATAAAAATAAATTATATTTTTGTTGAATTATTGTAGAATTTGGTTATTATTGTTATTATACTATCAAATTATATTAGATTCAAAGTTATTTATACTGTATTTATGAATATTTATATATGGTATGGACGATTATACTGTATAAGTATTTAGCCATAGCCAAAACCGTCGCATCCATGTTTAATGCCATATCCATAATAATGTTTATACTGTTCCAAACCCCATCGACCTTGTTATATTAATAATATTAATAATAATTGTAATAATATAATAAATAAATAATATAGAAATAGATATTATAAATAAATAATATAAAAAATAGATATTATAAATAATTAATAATTATAATTAATAATTCATACCATAATATGCATGAGGATAAGGACCACATCCGTAATGCCAACCTTTAAAAAATAGTAAACTTTTTGCATCGATGCAAATAGTATAAAATAATGTCATTATTAACAACACTATTCCTAAAATCTGTAAATTATAAACAATATAAATTTATAGGTAATAAAAAGCACATTGTTGTATTTTACCCCAGGATTTTCCATCATTTTGTTATTCATTAATTAAATTATTTACAATATTGTATTATTTTCTTGAAAATATTTTTATTTAACTTGTCATAAATATTTACCATTTTTGTGGATTTTTTATAGTATACAACTGAATTTATACTGCAATTTAAATTACCTAAAAATAGCATATATTGTAAAATTATAAATACATTTACAATAAAATACTGTTGTCTACAAAAACAGGTTTCCATACCTTTCTCTTTTAATGGTCAGTGCATATGTGTTGATATGTATTTTATAATAAATAAACATTTATTAATAAAATAAAATATTTTCTTATGTATTGTATTTCTCATACAAATTAAAGAACTTTCATAATGTATTAAAAATGTATGTTTTGTGACATTATTTTATCTTATAATAAAATATAGCACTAAATTACTCGCAATTATATTTGTAATTAAGTAAAATTAATGGTCAAAACAGGCATATTTAAGTTAAAGCGTGTGTTTAGTAGACCGTTAATAATAAAGTAGTAGTGTTATATTTTCTTGTAATTTTAGTTCACATTATATGCAATTTGCATATAATTTTGTCATTTAATTCAAATTCTTTCCGTTATTTAGTAAATACACAATTAATAAAATATAAAAATTACATATGCATTGAGATAAATTGTTTGGCAAATATAATTTGGTTAATAATCTTAAAAAGTGTTAGATTTATGGTCATATGAAAGAGGAAATAAATATTTTCTTATTTAAATTAAAATTTCTTATTCATTGGTTTCCGTTATTCACATTTATTTTATAATTTAAAAATGACAAAAATATGAATTTACAAAAATTGTATGAAAAATGTTTGAAGTAATTTTTGATTTTTTATAACACCAAAAATATCTACAAATATGCTTTTATAAGATTAACAATAGTTTTCGCGTTATGTTTACAGAATATGTTTACGGATTTACAACATAATATATTTAGATAATAATGAAATGTTGCGAACAATTATAAAATCCAGAAATTACTGAAGGAATTCATACCAACAGAAGAAAATAACGGTTGAAATGATGAGTTTTTCTAATAATATTCGGCCGTAAAATAAAGTCAGAGATCCTATTATAATGTATTTATCCATAATATCCACCCCAAAGGCCATACCCGCCCCGACCCCAACCACCCCAGTATGGATAGTAGCCATGCCTGCAAACACGTAAAATAAGTTATAATGTAATAAAATAATTATATATAGTTTAATTTACCAATATGGATAGCCATAGTAGTAAGGATAGAAGCCATAGAAGCCTTTGTTAAACCCATTCGTTGATTTGATTATTAAAATTATTAATAAAATAGTTGTTAAAAATAAAATCTGTTGAAAACAATCTTGTATTAATGGTTTATAATGAATAACACAAACAATAGTTATTTTACTTTATAATATAGTTTTATATCAAACAAAACACCAAAGATACTTTAAAAAATAAGAAATATTTCAATAAAATATCAGATATAGATAGTTATATTGTTTGAAAAATATTTTAGATATAATTTTACACTTTTATGAATATTTTCCACTTTTAAACATTTTTCATTAATGAAAAATTCTCTGTAATTCTTACAATATATAGCCTTTCCTTCATATCTAACAATGCATTGAAATTATTATATAATAAAAAATGTTTTTACAAAATAGTCTATACGCCGGATGTCAACACAAAAGACATTATAAGATTTAATTCAAGTATTAATATAAATGCTTGTTTATTATTATTTTACAAATGAATTTTTTATACAAATGATAAAAAGAAGAAAATTCAATATATTTCAAAACTTACTTGAATTTTATGCATTTTGTTTCCACAATCACTTTCTAGTTTTTAAAACAATTGTCACCAAATAAATGTAACTTATCTTTATATTGAATTCTCTATTAATTTAATCATTAAAACAATTTCTGCCCAAACATTAAAATAGATAAGTTGTATTACACGAGTCTAACCATTTGCTCAAACATTATAACGTGATTTGATTTTTTTCTACAATTTATTCATTTTATATAGATATTCACCAAAAGACTTTTCGCATTACATTTCCGGCCAATCGTTTAGATGTCTGAACTTATGAACATACTTTTATTTGCCTTGAAATCATTTATAATGTAATAGTAATAAAATCTTTATTATTATAATTTTCATAAACAAATTAAATGTCCGTTGAGTTCACAAGTATTTTAACGGTCAGTAATTCCGTTCACTCTCTCCTTCCAATTATCAGTCAATTATATTTACAAAACAATCATTTCATTCAAATTTATTTAATGATATCCCACTAACAGTTACGACTACATGACATTTTTCTATTACTCATAGTGTTTAAATTGTTTATAATTTTGATTAAATAAAACAGTATTATAGTATATGTAATGTGGTTAAAGTGTACAATGTAATTATATTAATAATATCTATTTGTAATAAAAGGTTAGAAGTTTTGCAAAATAAAATTTAATTTGTGTATTAATAATGAAATATAAATTTATAAAGTTTCTGAAACTTATTAGACCAGTAAATAATTTACTTCTATTAGCATTTCTTGTTTTCATTTTATAACTAAAACTTTATATTTTCACATTGTATTCAAATTAATGTCAAATTCAATTAACTTTTTATGTTTAAATCTATAAATTTATTGGTAAATACTCTTTATTTGTTATATTAATATTAAAAATGATAACTTTTAGATATCGATCCTAATATAAATTAATCATATTGATTGGTATATTTCAAATTTAAGAACAATGTATTATATTAATATTGATATATTTTGATAACCAATGAACTTTTACCTGTTTTCTTTATTTCAAACCCTGGCCTCACTTAATGACAAAATTTTATAATTATCACAGTTGACCCGTAATTATCGCATTTTAATATCAATTTTTATGTTTAAATAATTTTATTAAGTTAGTTATATAATTTAAACTACAAAATTTAAAATTTATATTTTTTAAACATAAACAGATAACTATAACCAAATATGTTATATATAATATTTGTGATAAATTTTACAATATAAACAAATGATTTACATAAAAAAAATACTTTAAAAATTTATGTTTTAAATAATGTGATTATTTAATGTAACATGAATGTTATAAAGAATATTGGATTATATTTACAAAATACTGTTTAATATTATTTAGATAATATAATGGTCACAATAGATCACATATATTATGTAACATGTAATCATAAAATTATTAATAAATTCAGAGTTTTATAATTAAATATATTTGTATAAAGTTACACAGTATGACGATAAAATTAATAAAACAATAAGAATTAATATAAACTTTCAAAAAGTTGAAGCAATATTAGAGTGGTTAAGCAATGTTAACCAAATCCTGGTCCACCAACATTGCCTGCTCCCCAATGCCATGGAACCCAAAAACTATTCACATATAATTTACTTTATGTTTTGTTTCATATCACGATAAAAATAATATTTAATAACACTTACAATGGATAGTGTCCCCAATGGTAAGGATAACCCTTTACTATTTTTATTGATCCAGCGTTAGTGTCAATAATCAACGCCAATATAACAAATATAAGTAGTAATAAATACTATAAAAAAATTTAATCAGAAATAACAACAATTATATACATTTTAATAAACATCGAGGAATTCAATAACATTTACCTTAATTTGTAAAAAATTTTGCATTTTGTATTTTCACAATATTTGCGTTGAATGTATTCAAATGCATACGAAGAAAAGATTTCGCTGTTTTTATGTTTTGTCTTTATATAGTCTTTAGAATATATTTCAAACTAATTTTATAAAGTAATTATATTTGTGTGTATTTTTGCCACATGTTGTCAACATTGTTATTTATAAGTTTTCCCTTTAAAGTGGTCAAATTTTTAACGCTTTAT